TGCGCGATAAAACTCGTAATTGAGTTTGAAAATACACATTACGGAATGCAATTTTCTATTAACGTGTAATATTATCATATGTCTGTCGCGTACACGAATGAGCGATTTTCCTGCGACAGGACGACTTCATTTCGATATATCCTCTCGGCATCAATTAGAAGCTCCGCTTCTCATAGCCGGTACAGCTGCCCACACGACACGCATACACACATGCACGCGTACGTATCAGAGTAGCAAATGCAGCCTCGGGAGAATTATCGAAGAGAAATAAATAGGATCCTGCTACTACGACTGCACGGCTATCCTCAGTCTTCGTCTTCGTCATCGTGTTGTCGTCGTTCGTCGTAGTCGTCGTCGTCGTCGTCGTCGTCGTCGTGCACGTGAGAACGACCCGGATGAAAACAGGACGGATCAGCAGCTATTAAACAGAGATGGAGTGAAAGAGGGACTTGGAAACGGGAACGGAGACGATCAGGGAACCGGAGTCAAGGAACTAGAAATGAATTCCATTTGCGCGGTCGAGAGGGGAGGACCGTGAAGCGGAATAGAGCGGAATAAGAGAAGAGGACAGAGCAAAAAGGGCTGGCAAGATGTCGACCGCGTGGAACACGGGAAGGTTACCTCACCTTGTGGAAAGCAAAGAGAAGAGGGTGAAGAAGAAATTCGCAGGAAGCACAAGAGGGACGGCGAATAATAAAAAGCACTTGGAGAAAATTATAAGTTATACGCTTACGTGCTGTAAATTTACTCGCATTGTTCAGAATTGAATGAGAATGGGGGAATTACGAATACGATACGAGATTATATCTCGACTGTTCTCGCGTTGTCATTACCTAAGAATCGCGTTGCAAAGCGTCATGCAAGAATGTTAAAAGTGCATTTGAACGCGGCAATACACATGCCAGAATATGCTGATCAGTGACTATTGATCGCTACCTACGCTATTCGAGACTACTTATCGATGCAGAAGGAAGGAAAAGCTTGCAATAATGTTTACTCACATAGCGCAAACATGTGCGTGATATTTTCCTTTTACGTTTTTTTAATATCTAAACATTCAGAATTTTTGTTTTGATGTGGAATTCGCTACATTGCAAATTTTCACATATAATTCGCGAATCTCGCAAGTCGTTATGAGAGATTTCTCATAGAAATCGGACGGAACGTCTCGGATCGTGCCATTCGTGCCGAGAACGCATAAGGGCGAGAATCAGTAATGAGTACGTTACGGGTTTCTTCCTTGCCTCGGCTTCGCCGGCAAAAACTCGCTCTCGATTCGATTCACGGTGCCGGAGGACGAAGGATACGAGTAGGGAGAGGTGGAGAGGGTCCAGCGCTGGACCGGCGATCTCCGCGAATTAATCAAATACGCGAGCGATTTGTCTTCGTTACACCCACGTGGGCACCCCGGAGGGACGCGTGTGTAACCGGGGTGACGAAGCCTTCGCGAATCGGCACCGGCGGGAGAAAAACATGACCATGCGACACGTGCACCTTGCGCGATGATTATTCTAAATAAAAATAATACTTTATGCAAGAAGAAGGTCTCTATGGTGAGAGATTTATGCAGAGTTTTGAATTGCAAAAAAAGATTGTTTTTGCTAAATAAATTCTACATATTGCTACAAAATACACCCTTGTAGCGAATAAAAATTCACTTAATTTTATGTTCTTAAAATTATATAAAATGCGTATATAAAAGTTTCAATATACATATTATATTTAAAATTTTTTATAACTTATTATGAATATTGTTTGTGTGCGTATGAGAACATTTATTGTTCAAAATTCTTTTATTTTAAATTATAACAAACTATAATAATATTTGAATAATTTCTTTTTAATCTTTCAATACAGAGTAAAAATTGAAATTACGATGTGCGATATTCTCACGAAGAACGGGCGATTTAATGCGCGCTTTATAATTTTATTATCCTTTAAGATTTATTACCAAATGCGTTGCCTCGCGTATCTTAATGGCTAACTTTCTCGCCACGGCGGCTTACGGAGGAAGGGACACAGATTTGTCCGGCGTGTCACATACCCTTCCGAAGTCGCGCGTCGAAATCCTTTTGCACGGGCAAGATACTCGAGCGGTATCTCAGCGTATCGGGATGCGGAGTAAATCGTAATTATATACGGGGAGTAGTACAGGATCGGCGGACCCACCTCTCGCGGCGAGAGTCCGTGGAAAAAGATCACGCGGACGTTTAATAACACGGGTACCGAATGCTGATGGGTAGAAGTATTGCCGGGGATATAAAACGTGTACGTCTTCCAGACCAGTCTCGCGGTACCAACGCATATACGCGTAATTACACGCGCGCCGCGCGTATACGTTCACGCAACCGCAGTGTTTCATCCTTCGCATATATACATTTTACATTTGAGTTGATTCATGTGTGTAAGTACATCTCAGATACAGGCACGTTTATCCTGCACGCATATATATATACTCATACATAGGGTGTCTGACCGGGAACAACCTTTCAAATGCCAAAAAACAAACTAAGGATGACGAGGATTGTATCAATGTCTCTCGACATGTGCTAAGTGCTGGAGTTATTTAGTATTGAGAATTAAAGGATTTTGTTTTAATTCTCTATCAAAATGAGATGTGGACCAAAATATGTGCACCATTGACCGAGGCGTTCACGCTATATATGTGTATGCGTGCGTGCGCGTGTGTGTATGGATACACACCTTCCACACTGTCGCGTGCATCGATGCGAAAGGGGAAACGGAGGAAAAGGACGGACGAGTTGGATCGAGTATAAATAGCGGTCCATAAATCATGCCATCCACGTACGCGACCGAGTACCATCTTTAAGGCACTGGTCGAAGGCACGGGTCGATGTCACCCGATGTCACCGACGACAACGTAGAAGACATAGGCGTCGACGACGACGCAGATGTTATGGAATACCGTGAAAATGGAAATATTCACGGCTATCTCTCTTCAACTCATCGTGACGACAATGTTTTCGTTTTATCTGGTTTTTCCCGTTGCATGCAACGAGAAAAAAACTTGATCGGGATCGATCGCGGTGATCGGAGACGATCGCGTCGCGGTAGATCCGCGAGATTTGTCGAAACATCGTATCTAGGAAGGATATATCTCGGATGAGTAGTTGCACTCCCGTTTTGGTCCACACCGCGCGCTCGATTGATCGATCCATCCATCGATTGATCTGGGCAATTATCGGTACGCGTGCTGTGCGTGCTTTATCCGCGTGATTGTTCGTAATTGGATGTGGCCTCATGACGACGTGCTTTCATGACACGACACCGGATAATATAGAAAATTCATACATTTATAATGAACCGTTGTAGTTAAATCGGATCTCAAACATCATAAATAAAAACGGTTAATTGCTGATTGCGAAAAGTAAATTGAAGAGACATTTTTTCATCAATTTCATTAAGATTCTTTTTTTTATACATCAAAATGAAAGGTCGCGTGTGTATACTAACGACCCGCCTTTAACTCAATACTGACAAACTAATGATTTAGAACCCTTTCCTATAATAAGCCATCCAATTATACATCATCATCTATCAAACAGCAAATCGGGGACACGTCGCGTCGGCGCGATGCGTTAGATCTAAAGAGATTCCGACATATCGTAAGCCGCAATGCGGCGATAATTCCAATTCAGTTTCCCGCAACGTAAGATCCTTACGGTTCTTGGCGTACGAGAACGTGGGCGTGCGGACGGCCAACGGCACTCGTTATGCGAGATACACGCATGTAAGCGGGCCGGCGCTCACGAATCGTTCATCACGGAATTGCATCTGCCAGCGGTAATGACCGGCCAATTTGGCTATTAATTGATTCCGAGCAGCGGCACCGGGCGGTCCCGACTGACTCGTGCGAGGAGGTCGAGCGAGGTCGACGTCGTGGAATCGATAAACCGACATCATTCATTCGTCGATTGCACGTGCCCCGTTCGTTTGCTATTCGGCGAATGAAACTCGTATCATCCAAACGGACGCGATCATGCAGCCACAAATGCATTTCACGCTCGTATATGTATCGTGTGTGTGTGTGTGTGTGTGTGTGTGTGTGTGTGTGTGTGTGTGTGTGACCGTGCTCGCCGAAGATCTTGCTGTAAGATCATGCCACCGATCAGACACGATCCTTCGAGCGAGCAACGCTCTCCGATCGCAACCGTGACGAATGAGATCTCAGCAATGCGCGACAGCTCTCGCTTGAAAAGATCTGCTTAGCAGCGAACCTCGACTAGCCTTCTTTTACGGTGGACTCAGTGCCGCCGGAGTTTTATCGGCGAAGAGAATAAATTCGTTCACCGGTGAAGTTAACCAGAGAAACGAGAGTAGCGAGACGTCCCGTGACTTCGCCTCTAATTTGGCGAGTTGAAATAGCACGAAGCAACTGACCGTTATATTGTTGCTAAGATTGATGCATTCAAGATCTTACCGCCGTTTTTCTGCAATATACATCTTGTTTGTTTAAAAATTCTTCAAGTTATCTTGAAATATGTTTACAATTGTTTCATAAATTGTTACGGTTGTCAAAGACAACATCGCTGGTATTATAAAAGCAAATCAATTCGATACCTTTATACAAGATCGATAGATTAGAGAGAAATAGACTGCAATTAATCCATCTCCCGATTCAATCGCATAAACGACAAATATATCGTAATTTAATAGCAACACACGTCAATCAACCCGTCGTGAATATGTCCGACAAATCCGGAGCCATTACAAAAACTAAGTTGCGATAATGCAAATGCTCATGCAAATGCAATCGGAGACCGAACTACTTTTTGATACTCGCGCGTCATAATTTATCGAGATTATTCGGATACAACTTTTAATTAGCTTCCATTGAAGGCGAGAAGGACGACGAGACTTATTATGAATAAATTAACACAAAATGTGTTTCTCTTCTTTCGTTTAAAGCAATTTTACTTATATCTGATGCACGTATATATCTGTATACATTATTTAAATTATGTATTCTGCATTTCCAGGCGAACGACCAAGCAGGTTTTATCTGGTAAGAGAGGAAGCTGATCTCTCGTTGGATCCCAACACGGGGATGCTGAGGATTCGACAGCCGCTTGATCGGGAATCACGTGACAAATATGTTCTCAGCATCGAGGCACGTAATGGCGGCTCCATTGGATATTGCCAGGTAAAATTGCACATCCTCCAGATAATCATCGTCTCGGTATTAACTCGCCATAATCATAGCCGTTTATCCGTTTTCTCAGTATTTATCCTGAATGCGCATGTAATAATGCCGAGCGTGCGAAAAATATGCTACGATTTTTGCATTTCTATCAAATATTATTATATATTCGATATTCGATGCAACACATGTTTAGCATCGCACTTGAAAACTATGATTAATTTACCGTTATTGATCTTATATTAGTGAGGCATGGAGAAGCTTTTTACTTATTTAGTGAAGAAAATTTGTTGCCGAATTACTCTCATTTATACAACATCCGTTTGTCTTTTCATTTACAGATGGAATTGATCGTGGAGGACGTAAACGACAATACGCCGTCGTTTCGCACGACTAGCGTTCGCATCTCGGTGCCGGAATCTCATCCTCTTCATATACCCTTGTACGTAGCGCATGCTACCGATCCGGACACCACACCATCGCTGCTGATACGCTATGTCCTCGGTCAAAACAGCAACGACCTCTTTGAGATAAACGCGCGCACCGGCGAACTCTATTTGGCGAGACGATTGGATTACGAGATCCAGCAGAGGCATGGTCTTCTGATAAGGGCCCTGGACGGTGCTGGGCTCTCGGCTAACCTCAGCTTGAGCGTCGAGGTGCAGGACGTGAATGACAACCCCCCAGTGTTCGAAAGGAACGAGTATCATGTGGAGGTTCCCGAAGGCGCCAGGCTCGATTCCCAGGTGAGAAAAATCTTCATTACACGCCCGTCACGCAAGCATTTGTTTGTCGAGAGGATGCGGTAGGGTTCTTCGAAAAAGGAAGCGGATGTAGGAGAGACAGAGAGATTTAAAACGTTGCACAGGCGTATATGTTAGAGAAAGAGAGCAGAATAAGAAGAAACTTTGGATTGGTCGGGAGAGATGGTAGAAGTTAACAACCTCTCTTCGGCCTTTCTTTCGCTCTTCATCGGCATCTCTTCGCGCCAAAGAGTTCCCCTTTTTTCCCTTGTAGCCGGCTTCTTTTTGCTCCCGCGCGTTTTGTATCCGTCTCTGGGATGCGTAATTTTATCCGGGACAACCAGGAAGAACGCGCTCGTGAACCTTTGCTCCCTTTCGTATCGCAAGGCATACGCCGCGCCATAGCTACCAGTCGTCCTTTCCCTTCCGGATAGCTTCTCGCGAAAGAGAAAAGCAGAAGGAGAAGGAAGAAGAAGATGTTGACTTGCGAAGTTCACCTTGTAGGCAAAGGGAGAATTAACCTCTCGCGTCGATTAGGAGGAATTTAACTGAACGTTGCATCGCGCCGCGCAGATATTAGCTGATGTTACTCTACAAAGTTACTTGACTGACAAGTTCGGGCCGATAGATGGATAGGGAAGAATGTCTGATAATCTGATATCCAAACGCGTGCACGCGGCATGTTGCCGGTCGATACCGATTGCGAGTTCTGCGAGCGTCTAAGATTGATAGGTAACAGTCGATAGGCCCCCGCAGGAGCGCATTACACGGTCGATCATTTCACGAGCCGGTTCAAGCGATTACCTGAACACGAGATAGGAGATTTATCACGTCACATACGGTTATACCGAAAATAGCATTTTGGTTGGAAAACTTGAATTTCTGGCTGTGTGCGAATTTGTTTGATACTAGAGAGATTTACATTCAAATCTGAAACGATAGTTATAGATCTTACAAACGCGGATTAGCCCGTAAAAATGATCAACGGCGATGTACATTTCCTGTAATACATATGTATATTAGTCATTATGCGGCAAAAAATCGAAGAAGAGCGAGCATGGAGAAGTCGCGAAAAGCGTATCGGAATAGCGGGTGATTGAAAATCATTAGCTGCTTGAAATTTGCGAGAACAAGATCGTCATCGCGATTGACAAGCCCGACGCTTCCTCGCGGTGGCCTTAGCCACGAGCGCATATAATCCCGAATACGAGGATAGTGATGACGAGATCCTCGCCGCGAGATAGGCTCGTTAAATGACGTCACATTTTTAATATACCATATACACGGGTACGAGATAGAGCGAGAGACGTCGCTGCAATTGGCGTCTCTCACTTTTCTTTTTTTCGTCTGCCTGTCTCCTTCTCTTCCTCGTTCTTCTTCTCTCGTAGCTACTCAATCTTCCATTCCATCTTTCTCCTGGTATACATGTATATATTGGCGATATCTATCGGTGGAACAGATCTGTGGGCTGTCGGTAGTATCCGGACAATATCTTAGTCACTAGTATGCATTAGAGAGAAGGAGATGGAAAAGTGGAGGAAAAGAATGTGAAGAGAAGAAGAGCTGGAGCAAGAGAATAGCTTGGTTGCAGTAAGCGTAACCTTTCACCCATCGTAAACTAATAACGTATAGTTAGACACATTAGTGCCTGCTCTCACTTCAAATTCTTTATTTAATAGTAACACATATTTCTCCTCGTCTACAAAGACAACTCGGTCGCGGCGTCTCTTTTTTCTCCTCCTTTACTCCCTCTTCTTCTTTCCTTTTGCCTTTTACTACCATCTATCATCCGTGAGCCGCGGGTTCATGCGCAGAACACGACCTTATACACTCCCGATCCTACATTCTTTTTCTTTTTTTTTCTCGTTCTTCGACCTTCACTATCTTCCCGCGCTGGGAAACATCGGCTGGCTCGAACATGTTTAGGGTTCGCGGTCCTTGGGTGCGTTTAATTAATACGAAACGACCGGATCGACTGGTCTTGTCTCGACGCCGCCTATCACCCCGTCTTTTTTCCCTATTCTTGCTCCTTTCCTCTCTTGCAAGATTGCGAGAAATCTCGGATGATTATTCTTGTTTCGATTTTCTGCTCGTCTGGCAGAAACATTTTATTGCTGTGTGTGTGGAATTTTCAAATATAATTTAATTAGATATTTAATTATTGTAAAATAATAAATTAATAAAATTAATAAATTAAAATAAATTATCGCATTAAACGTGATTATTATAATAGACTAATCATATTCTTCATTGTTTGCAGATTCTTCAGGTAACCGCGGTAGATCTGGATACGGGAAACAATGCGAGACTGAGCTATCGTCTTCATGGTTCTGCCGCCTTTCGAATCAGTTCTAACACCGGTTGGATCTACCTGGCGCAAAATTTGGACCGTGAAACTCTCGATCGGCACACCTTGACGGTTCTCGCGACCGATAACGGATCTCCCGCAGCGACCGCGAGTGCCTCCGTGGTGGTGACAGTTCTAGACGACAACGACAACGATCCGCGCTTCGAGAAGGATTTTTACGGATTCGAGCTGCTCGAGAATCTTCCCTCGGGCACTCTGGTTGGTTCCGTCAGCGCTACCGATCTCGATCTAGGCAAGAACTCGCTCCTCAGATACGCGGTGGTTCAAGCCAATAGCAGCTTCACTGTGGATCCTGATACAGGTATAAAAAAAATTTTTCTCAATTTTATATATCCATATTTTTCATTCTTCTTCCGTTTGCACGCCGTCAAATGCCAAGGAGATATATATGGGTTCTCGTCGAAACGACGAGTTTGAGTGTTTGCGAAAGCCGGCCCGGGTCTGGCTTCGAGGGCCGAGCGGAGATGCCCACGCAACTTGAAAACTCACGGAGAAAAATATTGGCGAATCCATTTTCGAACTCGGGTTTGTCGAGATTTTGTCGAATAAACTCCGCGAGAAGTGCATTATTCTCTACTCCGGTCTTTCTCGGGTTGAATTCACACCGGACTTATGACTGCGCTACTTGACGATCGTGAATAAGAAATATATAAGGAGAAACTTTCTGATTCCGTGCTTCTCTCGGGACTACGGTGACAGTGATCGATTCGCGGCGATTAACATTTTGGTTGCAGGTTTGAGATTTTTTTTTTCGTCGCGATGCCTTGCTTTGCGGTATTCTACCATACTACGGGAATGCCACGAAACGGAAGCAATCTCAGTGCAATTCGTCGTGGTCGCGTCGATAATTCTGCTCTCATCGAAATCTTATCGATCTTTTGCGCGTCATTTGTCCAACTTATATCTCTCCTTTCTTCATCGAAACGCCATCACGAACGTAATTGTACGCCGCGTCTACCGCAGAATCTTTTATTTCTTAACCAGATATTCAATCTCGTATATCAGTCTAAGGCTTAGTCGATCCGTTGTGCTCTCTTTTCCGTCCTCGCTTCGCGCTAACTTCTATCTCGCGCGTCCTCGCTCGCAGCCACAGTTACTTCCTGTTTCAGACAGGTTCTTAGCCTGTTAAATAAAAATTGAACACACCTTCGCTAGCTTCTTATTAATTCTCCGTGTCTGAATCGTCGGTATATATGATATTCCCTTTCTCTTTAACTTGTCCCTTCGAGTTCCTTCCAACGCGATATGATGGAGAAACACTATAGAGTCAACGAAAAATCGATTTAGGTGCGAGAAGGAAACGCCGCAAGTGTAGGAAAAGGAGAGACTATTAATTTTCTAAATGGACCCTAGCCGTCAGCGCGTGTAATTTACGCGTTGCTGTTGCGTCAACCTAGCGGCCCTTTATGCCGCGCCATTGTTAAACGATTTCGTAACCGACGAAAAGATTCCTCGGACAACGTCGTCCACCTAAATTGTTTCGAAATTCTTTAAAAATATTTATCATCTTTTATATAAACCATATGTTGAATATAAATATTAATTACATTGGGCTTTATAAATATGCCTGATAATTTTCTCAGCTTACGATATTACTCAATGAGGATTTGCTAAATTACTGGCTAGAATAACAAGAATCACACGATCTTTGTCTTCGCGATCTCCGTATAACTCATTTTAGATTGCGGCAGTGTGCGTACGCTCTCTTCTCGTGGGTATTAAAATATAATCCGGTAAGAGTGGCGCTTTCGCTTAGTCGGCGTGTAACGAATCATCAGGAACGGGGCCCGAGGCTCGTCACACGCCGCGTAACGCACATGTATGCAGTGTGCCTCGCAATGTGCGCGGTTTGATTGGCATGCGACACGGGAGTATTTGTGTACACGCTTGGTTCGAGGTCCGGGCCCTCTCCTCTCTTTCTTTCCTCTTCGTTTCGTATCCGCCGGGCTGCCTGTTTGCAGAGGTGGGACTTCTCGAGTCATCCCGACTGCGCGGATCGAGAGGCAGGCAGAAAAAAAGATGAGAGATAACGACGAGGTGGGGGCGATCGCGCTGCCGGAAGTATCAGCTGTCTTGTCGTACGAATACTTCTATATTAATCCCTGTTGCACACAGTGCGAGTGCACATTGTCCGGTCAACAGACCGGCGGCGGCGGCGCGGAGTGAGTTGAAATTTCGCTCGGCCATTGTCCTTCGATCGCGGGCTCTCTAACCCGCGATCTCCCATTGAGAAAACCCTCGAGCGATGCCTCTTGGCTCTTTCCGCGTAGGTCGCCGCCGTAATGTCCGCTTAATGGCACCCTTTTCTCCATTCATCCAATTAAGGAGGCCCCGCGTGTTGGCTCACAATGTCGAGAGATCGAACCCGCCGTGATTTATGGAACGGCACGTCCTTGATGAGACGCGATGAAAAGTATGGAGAATATCAGCGATTGTCAGCTCGATTCGACCAGTTCCTAATATGTACCGGGTATGATTACAGTTGCTAAACGTCGATGTCCCGCTTGACAAAGACATGATACATTTGACGATGTATTCGTCATTCCGATGCAAGTCGTGACGTCTTCGTACGTGGAATCTTCACGCATCTCTCATACATTTTAATTCGTCTCGATATGCACGCGATCATTGCGATCTCAGGAATTTCCGTGACTTACCATCTAATCGATAGTATCATCTATCGATTGGATATCTGTTAACCATGCCATCATGTAGCTTGTCCACTAGAACAGGAACATATTCTTATTTTAGAGATGCGGTAATGCTTCTTTCCGAATGTTATTTTGTTGTATGTCGATTTTGTGATGTAATTTGCAAAAAAAAAAAAAAAAAAAATTTAACTTGATAATTTCGTCTCGTATCGTTATACGTGTATCCGGTGTATACTTCGCCATGATAAATGTTGATTACGGTCAATTTATATTATAATTGAGCATAGGTGTAAAAATATCGATCGGATATCTTGAATTATTTAGCGATATATTTTCCAGGAGTAAACATGTTTAACGGGGTTTCCCACCGCTTTTTCCTATGCGTCGATAATTTGATACGCAGTTTTGCATTGATGATCAAATTAAAGATAAGATTGCTGCACAGCTAGTTTGCAACTCGCGTGCGTGGTTGCCGAGCAGGTTTCGAGTTTACCCTCGGCTGAGATTTTTCTATCAGGTACGCTTCTATTCGTCGAATTGTTTGAGAAACCGACGTTGTGGGGTCTTTCGCCAAGCTCACGTACATCCGATCGCGGCGATGGATTCCCAAATATTGGAAGAGGCACGCGAAGACAAAAAAGTCCGCTCTTCTTACGAGCATGACGGCGAGATCAGCCATGCGGTCCCACGAGAAACTAACACGAGAAACGCATTAGCACGCGTCCTACGATATACTTCTTATTGTTCCGCGATGGTATCCTCCGGTCGGCGCGTTTGCATGTCCCCCGTCGATCGTTTGTCTTGTCGACGGCGAGGAGTACGATGTCGCCGAGGCCACGCCGGGACGGTCGCGACTAGGTACGTCGAGAATTCGTGAAGGCACGCCAGATTCCGCCTGGCGTGTCGCCGGGACAGCAATACGGTCGTCGTTTCTCACAGATCCGTCGTACGAATTATTATCCTGATCCTTTTCCCAGATTCTGGAATAATTCTGGTGGCACGGCTATAACCGCTCCCTTAATTATCCATTAATGCGCCAACCGGTGCCTAGATGAGGAGGAAAACAGGTCTTTTGACTCCATCTTTTCCCTCTTTTACCCTGCCGTGCTTTCGCCCTCTCATTCCCCGTTCTCTCCTCGTTCTCGTCCTCGTCGTCCTTCTTCCTCCCCTTGTGACCGTGACTACTCCCCGCGATACGTAATTACGGCGGAGCTCGTTACACGCGCGACTACGTACGTACCTGGTACGATTATTACATGCGAGGAGAAAGAGAAAGAAAGAGAGAAGGAAGACGAAAAACGAAACCCCTGGCGCGACCGAGGAATACGAGCGACTGTGCATGGACGGTTCTTACGAGCGACGATTATCCAATTAACCGTTCTCGACGAGGAAAATTGATAAGGTCGTTCTAGCCGATCGCGATCCACGAGGAGGGATGTCGGTCGATCGTACGTATTGAATTTTATGCGAACGGATACGCGAGCGTGCGCTCTTACGTTCGCTACGC